TTCTGTGGCGGGGGGTTTTCTACACAGCAGCCACAAACAACCCGAAGTTTGATCGCATGGAGGGAAACCCCATCTGTATCCAGATCCCCTGGGACAGGAACCCTGAAGCCTTGGCAAAGTGGGCAGAGGGCAAGACAGGCTTCCCTTGGATCGATGCAATCATGACTCAGCTGAGGCAGGAAGGGTGGATCCACCATCTGGCCAGACACGCGGTGGCCTGCTTCCTGACCAGGGGCGACCTCTGGATCAGCTGGGAGTCGGGAGTCAGGGTGAGTCTGCCATTTTTGGAGGCTTGCAGGAGGCCATAAGGAAAACAGTCTCCCTGGCACTCGCTGCAAGGATGGTGCACACAGGTATGGCTTTTGCTTCACACGTAAAAATTGTGTGGAAGAGAGGATTTGCTAGCAGGCTCTTGGCCTGCCAACAGGTTTCTGCCTTCTGCTATGAAGCTATGACAGTATCAAGAGTCTCTAGTAATCATGACTAAATGTTAGTGGGACCCACTGGTACATATGGACTGTGATTCTGGGGACTTTTTTATTATTTTGTAAAAGTTCTTTCAGTCCATCTGTTTTCTTTACAAGTTCAATGTCACTTTATAACTGGACTTTTCTCCTCATTGTATAATCCATCACCGTGCCGGTCAGGGAGCGCTCCATGACTGTGAAATCTGAGTCTAGAGTCTCTCAAGGAAAGAGGTAAAAGACCGTCCTCTTGGGCCATCTGAAGGGACAGACAGCTTGAACCTATCTGGTGTACATACTGCCCTACGCAAAAAGTGGAGGCAAGGGCGTCTTGTCACAAAGCTGACAACACAGAGCATAGCTGAAAGTGCGTTGTAGGGTCAGATGCTAAAGGTGCAGCATCTGTGGATGGATGTGCGCGAGTTACTGCTGAAACCTGTCTGCCTCTCGGTGGCATTGTGCTCTGGGACCTTCAGAGGGGTTCTTGCTGCTTGCTCTGGTGCTTGTTCTTCTGTGCAGCATCTGCCTGCTTCCCACAGTTGGTGCTTTGCACTTGTTAACGCGTCCCAGGTTAGGATCAATACCCAAGGCTCGCTGCAGCACTAGGTGGTGATTCAGTCTATAGTTGCATGAGAGATAAGCCAGCACCTTATCAGCACGAGCAGACAGCGTCTCCCTATGTGAAAGCATCAGGAAGTGAGATGTATTGACCAGCCAGCTGCCTTCAGCCAGCAGATCGCCTCTTTGCTGCTGCTCGGGCTCCTAGGAGCCGTTTTCACGGCTCAGTGCCTGCCACTTGAAATAACGTCTTGGATCCTCCTGCCTGGGTAAGCTCTCACTGCCTTTGCCTCCAATTTCTGCAGGTATTTGACGAACTGTTGCTGGATGCAGATTTCAGCGTAAATGCGGGCAGCTGGATGTGGCTTTCGTGCAGTGCATTCTTCCAGCAGTTCTTCCACTGTTACTGCCCTGTGGGCTTCGGACGTCGCACAGACCCCAGTGGTGACTACGTTAAGTAAGTGATGTGACTGGAGCTTGCTTCTTGCTTGGTCTGTGAACCTAAATGGTTCAGTAGCTGACAGGTGCATGAGGCTTTCTGTGCGTTGTGGATGCTGCGTGGCTGCACTTGTAAGTGGTGTTTGTGCATCCTTTTACTTGTGTTGCAGGAGGTATCTGCCCAAACTGAAGGGGTTCCCCTCACGATATATATACGAACCATGGAATGCCCCGGAGTCTGTGCAGAAGGCAGCCAAGTGCATCATTGGGGTGGACTACCCCAAACCCATGGTGAACCACGCAGAGACCAGCCGACTGAACATCGAACGCATGAAGCAGATTTACCAGCAGCTGTCGCGCTACAGGGGGCTCTGTAAGTACAAACAGTTGTAAAAGACTTTGTCTTTAATAGGAGATGAAATGCTGGGAGGAGAGGTCGTGATTTAATATAGATAGCACATGTCTCTCTGGCTAGTCCTTGCAAGAGGAAGCAGTCCCTGCCAGATCTGCTCAGGTAAGAGTGGGGAGCTGGTGATGGCAAGGCACCATCCATATGCCCCCAGTGGTGCAGTCTTCACTTTGGAAAACTCGAGGCTGAGCATCCGAGATAAACAGGCTGCTGCTGGATCACAGTGTCTGTCTGTGGCTAGCGCTGGCTGAGCGCAGCTCTGGACTCATCCTGCTTTGGGATGTAGCTGTGCTGATTGGTGATCACTAAGGTGTTCCTGTGTGAAAGGCTTCTCGCACCTCAGGTGTTTTTTGTTTCTTAACTATGATCCTCTTGCCTTTCTCTAGGTTTACTGGCATCAGTCCCTTCATGTGTGGAAGATCTCAGTGGCCCAGTTGCAGACTCCGCTTCAGGGCAGGGCTGCAGCACCAGCACAGGTGAGTTGGAGCGATATGTGTGCTTCTGAGATAGTTTCATGTCCGCTTAAAGGCTACGGGCAGGAGAGAGAGATCCTTTTCTGATAAGAAGAGGGTGTGTAGCTAGGAAAACATAGATCACATTCACCTTCCTTTTAGGCTTTCTTCAGAAGTCCCCCGTGAGCCTTCGTTCCTAAAAGGGCTGAAGAATAGGAGTTTGTTGAAGTCAATCTTTTATTGCCTGTATGGGATCACATGCAGCCACTTAAGGGAAAAGTACAGATCTCTGTAGGGATCATCAGGTATAATGAAGTTGTCCTCTGTCAGAGGATACTTTTGTGTTTGTTCTGGGAGACTTAATTACTCTGCTTTTAACAAAGCTTTTTCACAAGTTTTCAAAGAGGCTGTGGCAGCGTCTGTGCTTGTGCACTGCGTATTCTTCTCTCTCCCAGCTCCGTAGCAGGTTAGGCTCGGGTGTACTTGTGAGGAGATCTGAAGGCAAGGGGAATGTTGCAATGACTCTTCTTCCTCTGCAGCGATGAGGCTGTCGCAAGCAGACCAGGCTTCTCCAAAGCGCAAACACGAGGGAGCAGAAGATTTGTGCGCTGAAGAACTGTACAAACGAGCCAAAGTGACAGGTCTCCCCGCTCCAGAGATCCCTGGCAAGAGTTTATGATTGTGAGTAGTCTCTAGCGTGATTTGGCCGAAACTACCTTATCCTGGCAGCTAGCAAGACTCGGTCTGATTTGCTTCCTCCTTTTTAATGAACAAAATGGACTTGCTTGTGGGGGGAAGTGGCTCCTAACTGTAATTCCATAACCCTGTAATTTGGCTGTGGCCTGCCCTGGTTGTTTTGGTGTTGCTTGACAAGCTGTTAACTCGGTTGTCCAGCAGAAAGCAGTACCCTGTTACCAGGACAATCCCAGATCACAGTTGTTGGGGGGGTTGGCTTAGTGAGGCTGCTTCTCCCACAGGGCGGGTTTGCAGGCAGGTTTGCAGATGTGCTCAGGGTACCGACTGAAGGAGGAGAGCAAGCAGGTCCAGTCGTCTGCCTGAAGTGCTCCAGATCCCAGGAGGGAAGGAGCTGGTCACATGTTCTGCCAACTTTGCAGTGTAAGGGGGAGGTCAAGGCAAATTCTCTCTTTTGCTTTCTCTTACAGCCAGCGGCAAACATCTTGCAAGTGAAGAGTGAGAGTGGTGAAGAGGTGACCAGAGGAGCAGGGACTGCTGCCACAGAGGGGCTGGAACTTGAAATGCGCAACAGAAAATCTGGGGTCTCATATAAACGTGTAATTCCAATAGCTGCCACAAAAGGGCACTGCATTACTTGTGCTTGGGAATACTTGGCTTTCTGGTCTCTGGAGAGCCAAATATGTCTCTTCTCAGCCATGCCCAAAATCTGCCCACATTTAAAGGGGCAAGAGCCTGCTATCAACTTGCTCACTCCCAGGTGTATCTTTCTTTTCTGACAATGGCTCCTTGCATGTGATTTGATGCGTTGATGCAGGGAGCAGCATCTGCGCATCTCAGAAATAGTAAACGTCCTTGCTCATCATTAGTACGAGCCAGTGAGGTGCGCTGATTAATTCAAATTATAGTAGGCATTGGGAAGGAAGCTGCTACAATGTCAGAAATAAGAGTACCCATCCTACAAGAGAACAGGAAAATCGCAGTATTTCTTTCGTTAGGCTAGACTGACGGCGATATAAATGCTTTCTGAGTAAATCAAGGTGGTACTCATGTGGGATGGAAACAAAATGAAGGACAGCTGTAGCAGGAGAACTGTCTGTACGCTTAAAAGGCACTTAAAACTTTCTGTGCAGAAGAGCCTCACTGCTGCAAGGTGAGCCATGGTGCCGTTGCCTGGAATGGGCCGCTTCAGAGCAGTTTGCCATCTCAGGGATGGGGGGGGACTCTGAGAGGAGAAATTCTTCAGAGAATAAGATCATGCCTTGGCACGAGTAAAGCAGTCTCCCAGAAGCTTGCTGGCCCGAGTAATAAGGGAACTACACCTGGGCCCTGCACTCCACAGCATTTCCTTCCCTGAGTGAGAGCGCTCTGAAATGGAGTGGCCGGTGTGTGGTGTGTAGCCTGTGGAGTGTCTCACACTGACAGGGGATGTGTTACACGCCAGCTCCTTGAAGTGAGTCTTCCTCAGGCTCGGTCCGTTGTCCATTCTGTGTGGATGTTCGCTCTTTCCTGCGTTGGCATCTGCGTTTTGAGTTTCTGCGCAGTATATTGCTATAGCTCATACCCTGCACACTGCTCCTTCCTGCCATCTGCATTCACGCTGGTGCATTGTAGTCTAGCAGGACAACTGCGGAGCTTTCCTGGCTCTTAACCCTACATTCTTTGGCCTGCTCCTGTTGCGTGTCACTTCAGCACGGTGCTGGCAGAGCAGTGCTGCTTGCCTTCCCACCTGGGGGGGCAAGGGAGGGCAGTGCTGCAGAAGAGCCTCTCTCTTGGCCATTTTCGAGAGGGATTAGATCAAGCAGCTAATCCCGTGCAAGGGGCTGCTGTTGGCACTGTTTTCATTTGCTGTCCAAAACCTTTCATCCTGACACAGACAGTGCGGGGCTGCGTGTGAGCTTATGCAACTGACAGCTTGGGGAGCACAGTTACCGTCTCCCACCCTGGCTGGGATAATCAGATTCAGTTTTGGAGCCCATGTTTGAACCCAGAGCAGTGGGGCTGCGAATAGAAACTGACTCAAGTGTATCTGGCAAACCTGGAGTGGTTGAATTGGGTCTGTGAGTTAATTTAGCGAATAGCTGAATAAGCTTTTCTTCCCACTCACCTCCCTGGGGCATTGACCCTAGGTTCCTTGTCTCAAGGGAATCCATTCCTGCCCTTACTTTCTTCTAAGCTACCATTTGTAGAGTCTGCCTGGTGGATAACCCAGTGATCAACAGGTTTTGTCCCTTCAGTCTGACCCAGGCCTTACCCCCTCTGCCTTGAGGGTAGAAAGGTGTAAAGAAAAAGAAACATCCCCCTCCAATCTTCTGCTGCAGAGGGAAGAAAGTTGAAAGATATGCACTTTGTACACTTAGATTACAGAAATTGTGACTTCTGTCATTTGAGAGTTTCATGCTTAGGCAATGGTCTGTAAATATGACTTTTTTTTTTTTTATAAATGTCTTTAACCCTCTCTTTGCTGTCATCCAAATTATTTCATGTGGTAAGTGGCATTTTGGGGAGTGGATCTGTGGGGGGGAGGAGCTGAGGGGAGAGGAGGTGAAGTCTTCTAAGTGATCTCTTAGAAGAGTTTATGGGTGAGGGGTAAATCACCTCTAAGACTTCTGTCAGTGCCTGTGATGTGGATGGTGGCACCTGGAAGAGCTGCAGTTCAGGTATTGGAACTGGGAAGGGCACAGGGACACACAAGTCTGGCGAAAGATAAGGGGGATAACTTCCTGCAAGAAACCTGCTCAGGAGGCTGGGGTTCATCCACTCGGATATCATTTCAACTGGGAAAAGATAAAGGTGGGTAAAACCGTGTGGCGAAGTGGAGCATGTTCAACTAAACTGAGGTGGGACGCTCAACAAGGCTGCACCTGCCTTACTTAGGGGTTTTTGTCACGAGCTCTTCCAAAGTTGTGCGTGCTAACAGCCTTACTGTGTTCGAAAAGGCTGGAGTGGTTGGTGGGAAAGGAAAAAACCATCAATAACTGTTAGTGAAGATATACCATCTTTGTTTCGGGAAGAAGAGGAGCATTGCTGGAGGCTGAGATAACTAAGGAAGCTTCATGAAATGGGTGCCAGTTTGGGGATTTCCATTTCCTGGGATAACAAGTGTTTTCTGTGGGTGAGGTGGCAATGTCTGCCCTGGTGCAGGCATAGGGTGAGCTCTCTGCCTGGGAAGGGAGAGGGGTTTGGTTTCTATGCTGTGAGAGTGGTGGCGTTCAGGCTGTTCCCCAGGGTAGTGTGGAGGCGGCTTTTGGCTGAGGGTGGGCACTGAGGCAGAGGAGCCATGAGGCTGCAGAGCTGTGGACAATGGGAGCGTTGTTCAGCGTGGGTCTCCTGCCAGCGACTGAGCCTGTGCTCTTGCAGTTCAGCTGAGTCATGAACCAATACTGAATACACCATGACTGAGCAGTCTAGTGACTAGCCAGGGGACAGCTGGAGTCAAGTTCTGCTAGTAAGACTTCCGTAAGCATGAGTAGCCATGCAGTTTCGCATTCAGGTTTGGCAACGGGGCTGATGTAGAACAGCAGTGCTGGAGCCTTGGCCTCAGCTGAGCGTGTTCAGATAGCACGGGTCCAAACACCAGCCGAGCAATTAGTACAAAGTATCCAGGCAAAGCCAAGACACAATTTTAAAACACTTTGTGTGAATAAGCATTTAAAATTTGGAGCTTAATTTGCTGGGCAAGTTTGAGATGCAAAAGGCAGTTTTTGAAGATTGAAATTCGGGTGTTTCAGAGAGGTGCTGGAGATAAAAGGGCATGTCTGGGCTACGAGGAGACAACACACATGGTGCGTTGGGGAACTGGGTGAAGGTGCGGTCAAGGATCATGCTGTCGCTGAGTTAACAGAATCACAGAATGTTCGGGGTTGGAAGGGACCTCTGTGGGTCATCTAGTCCAACCCTCCTGCCGAAGCAGGGTCACCTACAGCAGGCTGCACAGGACCCCGTCCAGGCGGGTCTTGAATATCTTCAGAGAAGGAGACTCCACAACCTCCCTGGGCAGCCTGTGCCAGTGCTCCGTCACCCTCAGAGGGAAGAAATTCTTCCTCATGTTCAGACAGAACTTCCTGTGCTTCAGTTTGTGCCCATTGCCCCTTGTCCTGTTGCTGGGCACCACTGAAAAGAGTTTGGCCCCATCCTCCTGACACCCACCCTTAAGATACTTGTAGGCATTTACAAGGTCCCCTCGCAGCCTTCTCTTCTTCAGGCTAAACAAGCCCAGCTCCCTCAGCCTCTCCTCATAGTTCTGTTGTCTCCGGTAAGGATCTCATGGGCTTAAGGAAGTAACACTTCAGTACTTGAAGTGGTTCACAAGTGACAAAAACCTTTTGAAAACTGCAGCCTCTGCCTTAGAAGATGAAGAGCCAGGATGACAGCAACCTCAGTCTGGCTTTCTCTACCCAGAGTGTAATAATGTAAATTAAACCTGGAGAGGCTGGGTTTGAGGCTCCTTCTCTGTGCTGGCTAGAATGTCCATTCTCCCTCTCAAAGGGATGGCAGTGATGTGGCTATGGATGGAAAGTGGCTGGCCTTGGGTTTCTAGTAGAGAGTGATTGCCTGCTCCCTGCGCTGGTGGTTGGGGAAACCCCAGCCTGGCCTCAGGGAGAGAAGCAGGAAAACCTCTCAGCACAGAATCCTTCCTCAGGTTTAACGTAAGGCTAAAAACAGTTGCTCTGAAGTGAACCTGATGGTCAGTTGGACAATTTGAAAGACACAAAAAGACAGCAGATGCCTTGTGAGGAGAGACACTGGCTAGGACAGAAGTGTGGTCTCTTTTTTGCAGGACATGTACATGGGAGTATGTGGGGTCTACCATGCATATAAGGAGATAGATGTGACTGGCAGTAGTGCAGCTGGAAAGGCCAAAGTGAGTCTCCAGCCTGGCTGGGATGAAGGGCCTGATAACCAGATGAGGGGAGCTCTTGGTGCTTGGCTTCCCAGCACAAGGCAGGATGTGCTGGTGATGATCTGGCTGCCAGAGGAGAAGGCCAAGCCACAGCCACACTGCAGAGGAATCATGTTCGATAGCTGAGGTTTATGGCTTGAGGTGGAGCTGTGTCAGACCTTCCCTGTGAAGTCCCTGAAGGAATGCTGGTGAGTCTCTTGGGTCCTCCATGTGAGTTCAGTCTGTGTATCCAACCTGGGAAGGGGACACCCAGCCCCCTCTTGGGAGGCTGTCCCGAGGGTACCTGTGCGTGGTGACCCTGTGGGTGTGCACTTGTTTTCACGCTGCACCACAAGTAACATCTCTTTGGAGTTGTCTGGCAGGAGCTCAAGACTCCCAAGAGAGAGCAGGGCTGTGGGCCTTGGAGGGCTCTGCTTGCTCTTCTCTGGAGGAGCAGCTGATGTCCTGGGTCTTGGCCAAGGACTAATACCATCGCCTCAATGACAGTCAGCTCCGTGGTTTGAGAAAGGCTGAGGGGACCTGCTGTATCTTTAAAGCTTGAACTGCTAGAGAAGTGCCACCTACCCCACCCAGGCCTGTCACAGTGACTGAGAGCATGGTGGGCGTGCGGGGAATACGAAAAGTTCTTCCATTCAGGTACAGAAGTGGCCTGAAAATACTGATGTCCGCTTCTGTGCACAGCACAGCCTGCGCGGTTTTATGAGAGAGCCTGCAAAGTGGGGGGAGGAGAGAAACCTGCTGCTGGGGCTGGCAGGGAAGGGTGGCAGCGAAGCACCTTCACCTGAGATCAGATGCTCTCTGGGACGCAGCTGGATGCGAGAGGGGGTCTGCCCGTTCCGGGGAGAG